CCACTGTGGGGGAGGGGAGGCTACTGGAGGGGAGCTGGGGGCTGAAATCCCAGTGTGGAGCAGTGATGATCGCTTGATCCCACTGGCCTGGGAATCAGGAGTCTGAGGTCCAGGTCCATCCCTTCACTCACCCACCTGATCTCTCTGTGCCTGTTTCGCCATGTGTAACCCCATCTGGTGTTAATAGTCCCAGCTCCCAGGCCTTGGGAGGATCCAGTGAACTCGCAGATGTCCCTGCCATGAGGACTCAGCTCTGAGCAGAGGTGGCGGGTGAGGGAGGGGGGAGTTGGAGGGGGGCCTTCGGGGATGAGGGTCTGAGAGCCCACAGGAGCCATGGGGGCTGTCAGCAGGGGAGGCTGAAAGGAACTATTGTGGGAAGCAGGAAGGGGGCTCTCTGGGGCACGCTAATTACAGGCCCAGGCTCTTCCAGACAAAGCCAGCGGCCTCTGAGTGGCCATTCTCCTGGAGAAGAAAGAAGACTTGAGGGCCCCATGAAGTCCTTTCATGCTGGGACTGCGGAAGGCGGCCTGGAAGGTGGCTTGGAAGTCAGCACTGTCGCCTCCTGTCTTCACCTCACACTCTGCCCCTTCTTGGCTCCTTCTGTGTGAGTCAGGACTCTTCCTGGAGTTTAAACCTTTTGAAAAACCACAGGAGGCTGAATCAGGGAGGCAGCTGGGAGTGGAGAGAACCCTGGGAAGGGAGTTGGGATCTGGTCCTGCTCTACTATCCCGGGCTCAGTTTCTCCATCTATAACATGGGGGAACTATCCGGTCCTGACCTGCTAAAATTCACTGAGGTGTCCAGAGACTTCCTCGGTGGAACTGAGGCCAGGCCCAGAGAAGCCTGAGCATCAGAACACTGCCTCCTGCCCTGTGGCTTACCCCCCGGCGCTGCTGCCCTCCCTCCTGGGCACCAGCCTGCCCACTGAGACACCAGGATGCATCTCTGAGTCCAAGTGCGAGTCAAAAACCCAAAATGGTCTTCCCTTCTCACAAATGGACTCTAGATGAAATAGCCAAAAGAACTATTCCTTATTCTTTTATGCACAAGCAAAGGCTGGGTTGGGCTTGTTGATCACTTCTCCCTCCCTCCCTTCCTCCCTCCCTCCCTTCCTTCCTTTCTAGAAGGCGTTAGAGGTCCCCCCAGGCACCTATCTCTTGCCCAGCCCTGTCCTGGGCACACAGACGTGATTCCTGAAGGCACCTGCAGTCGAGCGTGGGCAAGTTTGAGGTGTGTGCAGTGTGTGGCAATCGGGTGGAGTCACCAGCCTGATTCCAGAGGAGGAGGCTTTTAGCCAGACTGGAGGAGGAGTAGCATGACATCAGGGGGTGCTGGGCAGCTTGGGCAGAGGAAAGAGAACCAGCAAAGGCAGGGAGGAGAGACGGGGCGGGCCTGGCTTGGGGCAAAAGTGAGCCTTCCTCAGGACATTATGCTGAGTGAAATAAGTCAGTCACCAAAGGACAAATACCATGTGATTCCACTTATATGAGGTGCCTAGAGTAACCTCATTCACAGAGACAGAAAGTAGAATGGTGGTTGCCAGAGGCAATGGAGAGATGTTGTGTAATGGTGTAGAGTTTCAGTATTACAAGATGAAAAGAGCTCTGGAGCTTGGTTGCACAACAATGTAAATATACTTAACACTACCGAACTTGCGCACTTAAAAATGGTTAAGGTGGTCGGTTTTATCTTGTGTAAATTTTACCAGAATTAAAAAGAAAAAAATAACCAAACATACACACCAAAACATGAGGTCTGCCCAGAGACTGAGTAGGGGAGGGGAGGCTAGAAGTGGGAGGGGCGGGTCATCAGATGCAGAGGGCCTTCAAACCACGCTGTGGCTGCTGGCACAGTCACCTCAGATCTTCTGCAGAAAGCTGGAGGGAGGGAAAGAAGGGAGGAAGGGGGAAAGAGGGAAGCATTGAGGAAGGGGCTCAGGATAAACCCTGAACGGTGGTGTGCTTGGGGCCTGCTTGCAGGGCCGTGGGTCTGGCTGTAGTGCACAGAGGTCTGCCCGAGGGCAGAAGAGAGACTGGCTCCCGTCTGGTAACATCTCTGAGGGTCACTTCAAACATGCAAGAGAAGAGAGTTACTTCTATCGAATCACTGAGTCTCCAAGACTTTAGACCTAGCACAGGCAAACCATGGCTTCCAGACCCAGGCTGGGTGGCCAGGCCCAGCTGTGGAAGCAAAGGTTTCCAGGTAACCTCTGCCAGCTACCCTCTTCCCAAAATGGCCAGACTGTGGCCTTTTCCAACATGACTTACAGAATTTTAAACCGCCAGAACTTATCTGTGAAGACTTATCCATCCAACTCCTACCCATCATACAGATGGGTCCACTGATACCCAGAAAGGGAAAGGAATCTGCCCAAGATCACCTGCAAGTCAGGTGACTAGAACTCTGGTCTTATAAACCCTCTCTGCCTCAGTTTCTCCTTGGGGGACCTGAAGAAACTGAATTTTAATCATTGCAGAGGAAGCCTGCCACATACATCAGGACCCTTATCTGGGCTGGCCAGACCATCTTTAGACTGGTTATCCCTTACTTTTTGAAAATGATGCCTTCCAGTCAAGGTGACTTCAAATGAACTCTTTTGAGTGAAATCTATGCTGTCCATAAATCTATTCTTTAGACTCAGGACGAAGGTACAGAAGTCCCTAATAGTTTGAATTTAAATCTTTGAGCCAGTCCCAGGCCACATTTAGGTTCAGATCTCTAGGAATCTCTAGGTTTAGGAATCTCTAGGTTCAGATCTCAGCTCTGTTGCTTACTAGCTACAGCTTCAGATTCTTCATCTGTAAGATGAGGATGATTATATCCATCTCACAGAGCCATGTAGAGTGCCTGGTACCCAGTAGCTGCTCAATGAAGAGTATCACAAATGATGGTGATGATATTGGCTAATGATGAGAATAATGATGGTGGTATAGTGGTGATGGTAGAGATGGTTCTTCCTGAGGAGTGTCCAGAATCCACCCTCTCCCACTGGCTATCAGCAAGACCCAGGATCAGGAAGGATGGGTTCCAGCTTGACAGTTCTTTGGTGTGACAAGCTCTGGGCTCTCTGTAAAGTGAAGCTGTGCCCCATACTTTGCGTTTTGATTCAGAAGGTAAACAAACGGGTTCTAGAAGCAGGTGCTAAGGGTATGCTCCCAGGGAACAGACACTCCCCCAACTCAAGAACTCTAGGGAATGAACAGGCATGTGTGGATAGGCTCTCCTGGAAATGGGAAGCCCTGATTACCCCATACCTGTGTGCTCCCCACACCAGTACTCCTTATCCCTGACCCTGCTCTAATTTTTCCATAGAACTTATCATCATCCAGCAGACATCATAGTTAACTTACTTTCTATATTTAGTGTTTACTTTTATCTGTCCCCACCTCCCTCCCCCACTAGAAGATAAGCTTCAGGAGGGCAGGAATCTTTGGTTCGCTGCTATATTCTAGATGCCTAAAATAGTGCCTGGCACACAGTAAATGCTCAATAAACATCTGCTGAATGAACAAAAGCTAAATGGGAGGGATCCTTTGCTGCCTTTTTTCCCTGGGATGGGCCCAGCTTCCTGGCTTGTTACCTGGGTTCTCCTCAAACAAACAGAGAAACATGGGGGTTTGGCCCTGAGCGCCCAGCCAGTAGGCTTTCAGACTGGGCCCCGGCAGGGACGTGGCTGGGAGGGGGCAGCGCTCAGCCCGGGGCTCAGTCCCTGACATGGGCATGGACTTCAGGAGGCCTGAACCCTGGGTCTCTGCATCCCTGCTGAGCCAGAGGCTGAAGGCCGACGAAAAGACTTTGGACCTGGAGTTCGAGGTCTTGAGCGTGGGGTTTAACGAGGAGGGCAGATATGCCCTGCGGCTGTCAGCTGAGAGGCGCCGGCAGGCCGGATCTGGGGCTGGGGTGCAGTTGCAGGTGAAAGATGGGGACCCCCTCCCTGCCTGCTCTGCTGTCACTGATGTCGTTGAGCAGAAAGACCCTGGCCGGAGCCTCACCCTCACCAGGAACAAGTTTGTCTTTACCTTGCTTAAAGGTATGAAGTAAGGGTGGAGGCTGGGGAGAGACAGGGACCCTGAAAATCCTGCCTGGCCCCTGTCAGGGACTCCAGGGAGCCTCAGGGGAACCGGGAGGGGCAGGGGCAGAGCTCCAGATTGAATCCCAAAGCTCTGCCTGTGTCACTTGGGCCAAGTTGACCCTCTGTGAGCCCCTGCCTCCTTCAGTATGACATGGGGATGCTGACGCTGGTCACCCAGGGTCGGGTGAGGAAGAAATGAAAGGACAGCTGAGGAATGGCTTTGTGAATTTGTAAGACCTGAGCACACAGCAGGTTTGGGGCCAGTCCCACCGGCCATCACACTGAGTAGCCTTAGAGCCACTGGACTGTGGGTAGGCAGGGTAGACAGAGAGATGGAGACCTGGGCCCTGCCATCAGGAAGATTCCAGCCATCAGGTAGAGAGGCAGGAATTCCAAAGAGAGAATAGTTAAGTGACCTGGAAAGAGCAGAAGATCCATACCTAGACTGTGAAGACATCCAAATGGGCTTCCTGGAGGAGGAGGCGCATGCAGGAATAGGGAACCTAAGTTCCAGGCCTTCATGTGGTCAGAGATCAGAGTCAGGTTGAACTCCTCCCTCTGGGTGGCAGGACCCAGGACCATCTCACAGGCTAAGAGTCCTCCACTCCCCACATCAGTAAAGGGAGGGGGCCATGGATGGGGCCTGAGAGGGGGTCATCCACAGGGAAACCAAGCCTGGCTTCAACTCAAAGGCTGGGCAGCCCGGGTTTCCCAAGGGCCTTGCCTGTCCTCCTCATCCCCTGGGGGAGGCAGAGAGAGACCCCAGAGACCACCTCTGAGACCCCTGTTCCCTACCCAGCTTTCTGCAAGAATGATGGATAGCACGACGCACAGCTGCACCTGAAGGCTGAGCAGGGCCTCTGGAAGGGCGGCCCAGCGGGTGGGCGAGGCCATTTTTCCCATCTACCCACGCCCGGACCAACCCTCAATGAACCTCTCGGCCCGGGAGCACGAGGACCCGCACCACTACTGCAGCAACCTGGCTCTGCTCCAGGCCAGTGCACACCCCACGGCCTGCCACTGCGGGGGCCTGGCCTACAGGGTGGCCTTCCACATGCACCGGGCCCCTCAGCCTCCTGCCACAAACTGCCCCCCCAGCGCCAACTAGCCAGAACCAATGTCACCGCATCCAGAGCCCCAGCTGCCCGGGCTGCAGGTGGGTGTTCCCTGGGTCCCCATCAGGTTCTAGCATCACGGCTCCCCCAGTTAGAAGACCTGTGTCTTTGATAAGCCTGGCTGTCCCCACAATCTTTCACTGAGCAGAGCAGCAGGACTTGCCAAGGTTGCCTCATTCAGTTCTTAAGAACAAGCAGTCTAAGGGTGCAGCAGGGAGTCCCAGTTTGAAGGAGGAGACAGAAAATGGAGCAAAGGCCACACAGATCAAGGACATCACTGGGTGGGGTTTCTCTGCCCAGTGGGTGAGTGTCCCCTGAGACCCTTCAGTCCTCAAACTCACTCTCGCACGTTCTCACCAGGTTTTGAGGGAGGCCTGGAGTGACCAGGAGACAGAAGTCTCTCTGTGCCCACCCTCAAGCCCATCCAGCTCCCACCACGGCCAGGAGGGACTCAGCCCTGAACCAGGACCCTGGCAGCCTCAGGCCCAGGTGAGAGGGTCTAGTCCTTGTCCAAGCTGAGGAAGGTTCCCCAACGTGATAGTGTTCTGCAACCAGACAGTGTGTCTGGTGGGCCTCACACTCAGTATAGATAGACACTAGTAGAGCAAGCAGCCCATTTCACAGGTAGAGAAACTGAGGATCATCCCCAAGGATGCTTGATTCCATTTAATGCCAACAACATTTCCTGGGGACCTTAGTGCACAATAGTGCACGGAATCCAAAGCTAGGTCAAACCCCAGGTTCAAGGTGCCACCTGGCTTGAAAACAGTCTGGCATATTGTGGGCATCATATGGTCCCACAAGTTATGTGCTGGAAGGAGAGCTCTGGTGAGGAAGTGTGTGGGTCTGATTTTGGAGCCTAGGAAAGGCTTTTCAGAAGAGATGTAATTTGAGGTGAATCTTTCATTCATTCATTCCCTCATTCATCCGTTCATTCATCCATCAAACATTTGTTAAGTGCTGACTCTAACAGATCCCATGCTAGGTGGGTAAGATTTAGGAATGGCAATTCTGGACTTTGAGGAGCACATTCCAAGGAGGAGGGACCAGAATGAGCTGGCTGAAAAGGAAAGGGTTTGGCTGGCAGCAGAATGAGCTGAGGTTGAAACCAAAAGTTTACAGCCAAAGGTGCCTGGCTCTCCTGCAGCACCTCCACCCCACAGCGCATTGGTCCGGGCTGAAATGGAGCCCACTGTGGTGGGCTGAGTTGGGCTGGAAGACGGCTGATGGATGGGAGAAAGTGGAAGGAATCAGGAAAGAGCTAGGTGGATATTCAATTCAGGAGGCAATGGGGGACCACCAGAGGGGTTTGTGCATGAGAAAGACAATCTGACCCGTGCTTTAGACAGAGTAATCCGGCAGAATGTGCCAGGAGAACTGGAAGGATGGACCAGGGACCAGGCACCGACTTATCTTGCCCAGGTCTCAGTCTGTTACATGGACTACTTTGGCCCCTGTTTATTCATTCATTAGTCAGTCGATCAACAAATACTTTTGACCACCTATTGTATGCCCAGCTCTGTGCTGGGTGCTGAGGATACAGCGGTGAGCTTGTGAGTGAGATAGATGATACCTGGGTTCTGACATGTTCTACAGTTTGTTACAGGACTCAATATGCAAGAAGCTCAGAGCTCAGGGAGAAACAGTCCCTTGCTGTCTATGTCCCAGCATGTCCTGGCCACCTGAGCCAGGGGCCACGTGGACAGTTCTTTGCAGGCTGCAGCTCTGAATGCCTCTGAGGGAGGGTGGGACTGCTGCAGGGAAGGGGGACTGTGAGATGGCTGAGCCATCGGAGGCAGCTCTAATTTCTGTTATTTAATGCTGTCATTTCCCTGCCGTTCTCCCTCTTAAAGTGTCAGATGTCTGCTTCTACCAAGACAAGAAAATGGCTTTCAAGGGAGAGGAAAATCGCTTCCCTCCTGGGGGTGGGGTCAGCCATCACAGCCCTGACAACAGGGCCAGGAAGCCAGGGGGGAACAGACAACGGAGAGGGGTCCTTCAGAGAATAGAGGGGCTGTTTCTTTCAGCTCAGGCAAACTCATCTAGCAAGTTCAGCCTGAGGAAGGAGGGGGGCACTTTTCTGGTGTGTTTGGAGGCGCAAAGACACAGCTGGTAGGACAGCACCAGGACCAGGCTCTCAGCGCGGGGTGGGGCCGGAGGCTGTCCTCCGGGCCTGTGGCCAGCTCCCCGGGGAAGTGGATGTGGCCTAGAACCACAGGGATCCTTAAAACCATCCTCCCTCCCCTCCTTGCAGATAGGAGAAATGAAGCCCAGGACAGACGGACTTAACCCAGCTCTCTTTGATTCTCAACTGAAGAGGAGGAGAAAGCAATCTTGGGGCGGGTGGGGCTGGTGAGGGGAAAAGGCGGTGAGCAGGACAGATGGAGAGGAGGGAACTGCATTCTTGAGTGTAGCCCAACTTCAGCAATATTCAGTTCAAGGCCAGGAATGGATTTCTAGGCTCTAGATGGCAATGGATAGACTCAAGGCCACCTCGTACAGGAAGCCTTCCCTGCATTGATTTTGTCCCTTCCAAACTAGCCTCGGTCCTATCTGGTCAGGCATTTCAACCATTGAATCTATTCAATTTCAAACTTTATTGTAAGCTCACAAGTTGCTCTCCAACTTGTGTGTCAGTTTTTTAAGCCAGAACTGATGATGGTTATGGGTTGAGAGATGGGGTAAGTGTGGAGTCGGGGGCAGAGGGCAGGGGGATTACTATTGCAGTGATCAAGAGTGAGTAGGGAACAGGAGGCAGGGCTCAGCGTGACGCTTCCGTGACCGACTTTGAATCACTTTGCTTCTCAGCCACGGCTCACAGCCTTCACAGCCATGGTCATAGCATTCCAGAAATCCTGGAGACTCTGCTGGGACAATGAATTCCCCTGAGCTAACATCTTCCCTTCTTCAGTACTCACGTTTCCTGTTATGTGTGTGGGGAGATGGGGAGGTGGGG